CACTGGCGTCTTGTTTTGCTATTGCCTTGAGCATAATTAAATTCATTCTCTAGATCATCAACATCATCTTCATCCTCATCTCCTTCCACTCGAGGACTCCCTGAATAATCAAGACAGAGGCAATGCTTATATAAGGCAAGAAAATATAAGTCATAATGTGATTCTGAAGAAACAACAAACAAAGAAGTTAACCTTTGTGCCTTCTGTACCTAGTCTTGCACTGGGGACAAGACTGAGTACCATCTTTCCGCTCGTACTCATAACAAGGGCGGCAAACCGGAAAAGCACACTCATTGCAAGCAACAAATGTGTCACCACTGGCTGTAACTCCAACATTATCACCACAGATTTGACAAGTTTGGCCATTCAAATTCTTGAGGGGTTTGGGCTGCATTGGTCCACAAACAATGCAATAGTTAGAATTATGAAAAAAAATATTCAGCTTACCATACATATTTTGGAAGTGGATCGCAAATGACTATCGTATATTAACCCCAGTGGAGTGAAATCATGATCTCAGTTAAAGGACACCATGGCCCGTCAGTTTCAAACAGCAAAATGGGAATTTATCCAAATAGAAATATGACACCGACATCTCCACAGCTGAATGAAGAGATCACTCAACTTTCAGTCAAGTAACCACAAAATCTGAACGGACAGGCTTAAATTCCAAAATCTGGCTAAACGAGCTACAAAGACCAAAACGTTAAAGTGCCAAACTCACTTTGCACAACAACTCTCAGATCAAAACATGCTTCCCCAGAAAACCAGCAATTCATTTTAAAAATGTTGTTAAAATGAAAATCGACTGTGGATCCAACTTAAAAAAATCAATACCTAACTAAGAACTCACTCATAAATAAATCAAATCACGAAAATGCACTGATCAATATCAATAAGTCAATAATCAAAGCTGAATGCACTGATCAATATCAATAAGTCAATAATCAAAATGCACTGATCAATATCAGTAAGTCAATAACCAAAGCTGAATTGAGAAAAGATTAACAAAGACCACAAAGACCCACTACCCAATCTCCAACCCAGCGAAAACCGCCACAAAACTTCGAGCTAAGAAAACATCACTCTCGTATAATTAACAGTCAGATCCAACACCAAAATGTCAGTACAGTTACAGTCACAAACAAATTAAATGAATAAAATTAAAGCATGAAAATGAAAATGGTCAAGCTCAGAACACAAACCCCACTATCGGAATCGTGGCGAATCCGGACCAGCTCATTCCTCCGGTAAGACCCGGCCACCATGCCGGCACTTGCTTCCATGGTGGATTTGGCTCAATGTTTGTTCTTAAAAATAAGCAGATCTGTGAATAACGAAGGGGAAATGCTAAGTGGAAAATGAAGGGCAAAAGAGAATGGGTAAATGATGGTGTCTGTGTGAACTCTTCGCCCACTCAATACGTCATCTCTCTCATGTGTTCTCTTTTCTCTCTTCTCCTTCCAGCTATCACTCTTTGCTATTCAATGCTTGTCTTTTTATTATCTTGCTTTTCTGTTATTTTATTCTCTTCGTTTTGTTTATAATAGTAGCCGGTACGATTTACTGGTTGAACCGGTTGCTCCTTTCCTTTCTGAGCTCGGCTCAGCCGCTTACCCGTTGATTTTTATTTTCCTGTTTATAGTACTCATATTTTAATTTTTTTCTTTCAGGATTTTGAAAATAAAATTTCATGAACAACATAAATCACGTCTCCAGTGCTAATTCTTTTAGTATTTCAGATTTTCATCTTATATTGTAAAATATACATTTGATGACAAATATTTTTTAACTTAAAGATTATTCCAAAATGATATTAATAAATTTTAATATATCATTCACTACAATTTATAGCTAATAATTGAGAAATTTGTAATAAATTAAATAGCCGATTTCTTTGAACGTACCAAAAATAAATTTTTCTTTTTACTCAATTAAATCACGGGCACATATATCCCAAATTAGAAACATTTACCACTCTCTATCTATTTTTTTATTGCCTTTTCTTAAATTTTAGCGAACCCGTAACTATTTTTTCCTATGCAACATCTTTGTTTTCCTAGCCTTTTTTTTTTTTTTTTTTTTTTTTTTAAAAGATTATTCCAAAATGATATAATAAATTTAATATATCATCACTACAATTTATTAGCTAATAATTGAGAAAAATTTGTATAAATTAATAGCCGATTTCTTTGAACGTACCAAAATAAATTTTTCTCCTTTTACTCAAGTAAAATCACGGGCACATATACCCAACATTAGAAAATTTCCACCACTCTCTATCTATTTTTTATTTGCCTTTTCTTAAATTTAGCGAAACCCGTAACTATTTTTCCTATGCAACATCTCTTCTGTTTTCCCTAGCCTTTTTTTTTTTTTTTTTTTTTTTTCAATTTGCTTCCTCGGTTGCTTTATTTTTTTTTTTTTTTTTTTTTTTTTTCAATGTTGCTTTCTCGGTTGCTTTATTATTAACTTTTTTTTAATGCGATGTTGTTGACATAATCATCATGATAATGATATAATGATAAAGTCAAGTAATTATTAATCATAAAGTTAATATTTTAATATTTTTAATCTGTTAATTTTTTTAATAAAATAAAAGTTATCGATTTAATTCAGTAAAAAATTTATAATATTATGTTTATAAATAATTTAAATTAGCAATTGTTTTTTAATATTAACAATTGAGTATCAGTAATTATGTTATTTTAATATTATTTTTCAGTAATAAATTTTTTAATCAAGCATTAGAAATCCAAACAAATAATTTTTTTTTTTACATTGTAAATCAGGGGATGGGGATTAAAATAATTTTTTTACCTAAATGGCTAAATCAGTAGTATTTAATTTTGTATCTTAAAAATAAAATAAATCTGAAGGGATAGATTAGACAAAACCCAGAAGCAGCAGCTCAATAACAGTTTGAGCTAGAGCCTAGAATCTGAACTGGAGCCACATCACAAACAGCTAGCAAGTCGCTTTCCCTTTTAATAAACCTATTGTATTTTTCTGTGAGCTTAATGGGTTGAAAGTATGTGATTGGCTTTCTGAAAATAAATTTTTTTTGGTGTTACGACTTCTGCTGACGCATCCAATAAAATTATGACACGTGGAAGCATCCCAGTTTATCAATCTATGGCAATATATGTGTATTAGTTGAATATTTTATTTGCTGTTAACAGGCTGTCCCAGTGACTTACCGGTAATTGTCGGTAGCCTCGGTTTACTACTCCAGTGGGTGTCGGTGGACGAATTACTGTTTAATTTTTATAACTTATTAAAATTTACAAATGAAGGCTATTTATTTTTTGTGAGAAAATAAATTAAGGGTATTATTTTTAAAAGTTAATTAAGTAGTTGTTTTTTATTTGCCCATTGTTTTAATTTCGAATTATTTTATATCATAATTATCAATTCAAAATCTGGTTTTCTTCCTGTATCCTAAATATTGCTGACCATAATTTATAAATTACATATACAATTTGATTTTTTTTAGTTAATTATGAAAGAAAATGGTAAAATTTATACTAAAATAATATTTAATATTCTGCGATGATAATAAAAAGATAAACTATTTAATTAATTTCCTAAAAAAATAACTTATAAATTTTATCAAACTATAAAAAACTAAATAAAAATTTTGAATTTCCTTTACCGACCCCTACCGGTTTCCATTTTCTTTAATAATCTGACCACAATCACACGGTTAATAATTTGTGCTGGATTGCAATTCTCAGTCTCGTAATTAAATTTGTTGTGTTTACTGAGGAGAGAAAAGTTTCCCTGTCGGACGAAAACTTTTCCCTCTTAGGCAGGAACATTTCTCCGATTGGGAGGAAACTTTTATTTTGTCTGTCAACTAGCGGTGAGCGCGTAGATTTTTTACCGACAAGGAACGACAGGTCGTTGGACCGCAGATTTAAAAGCGCAATAGCGCTGCGCGTAATTTTCAAGTGATGCCCTCAACTGACTTAAAAAATTACAATAATACTCTTCTAGAAACCTTATAGGACCGAAATTACTAATTCATCATTTATTTATACTACTAATTTATTTTTTAAAATTCTAATATAATAAATTTTATTAACTTTTTTTTATACCACAGGTTACTCGACCCCGTTGGACTAAATCTAATCCCCTTTAAACTTGAATTTAAGCCTCCTTTTCACAACTAATACAAATATGATGAAATTTGAAAGGTTTAAGCTTTAGGGAAATGTACAGTAGCAGACATCGACAGTTTTCCAAACAAAAGAAAGAAAGTGACCAAAGATTTCTTTCACTTGCAACTAATCCTGTGATAGCCCTTCGCCACCTTCTACCCTTCATTCATGCAAATAACAATGGACATCTCAACAACTTGTCACAATACAATAACTAATTCGCTTTAAGCCACTATTACACTCATTTAAGCAATCGATTTTCCTCTCCATCATCCCCTCCAATAGGGCCACCATTTACCTTACACTGTCGATATATGGCAAAATAATTCAGAAATGGAACAGGAGATTTTTAAAAAAATTAAAGAAATTGCCATTGAGCCCCAGGCAAAGAACGTTCTGCAGGAATTAACATAGCTTTAAGCTTCAGATTCTTTGCTTCATAGTTCTCCAATGCTCCGAAATTAAAAAAAAAAAAAAAAAATGCACAAATTAACAATAGCTTTAAAGCTTCAGATTCTTGCTTCATAGTTCTCCAATGCCTTCCGAAATTAAAAAAAAAAAAAAAAAAAAAATGCACAATTTCCTCTAATTTTCTGTATTACTGCTGCCTCCCTCTCCTGCCTTGCTGTAGTATTCTCTTCAGTATCTCAACAAAACATATCCCAAACATTTTAATGACCATCGTGATGGAATTTTGCTTCAAACCCCACAAACTACATAAACAGAAAGATTCCCGACTTTAAAGTATTTGGTTTTTTTCCATGGTGGGCGTTGAAGTTGGGAATTTTTTTTATAAAGTATGAGATAATCAAGGTAGTCACGGATGGATATTTTACTTTATAGCGCGTCATGTCTGCGAGTGACAGGACCAGATCTAAACTTAAGGCAATCTGAAAACAATGTAGTATTCTTCAGTATCTGCAACAAAACATATCCCAAACATTTTATGACCATGTGATGGATTTTGCTTCAACCCACAAACTACATAACAGAAAGATTCCGACTTTAGTATTTGTTTTTTCCATGGTGGCGTTGAAAGTTGGGAATTTTTATAAATGAAATCAAAATAGAATTCATCTTTGCTTCTGTTGCCATACAGATCTAAACTTAAGGCAATCTGAAACAACCACATACATTGGTCCAACCTAATTAACCAACTACCAATTGCAAATCTATGGCCCTGTCAAAAGTCAGAACCCCAGAAAACCTACATGTCCAATTTCTCTTGTACTGTTGTCTGGTAGGAAGCAAAAGAATGATCAAAAAAGGAAGGTTTTAAAAGACCCATTAATGCAAGTGGAGGAACCACATGCATTGCATTGATGGCAATTGTTCATGACCAAACATCAAAATATGCTCGTAATGTAAAATTTTGGTCCATCATCATTCTCTTCCAATCAATCGTCACAGAGATTATATAAAGAATAACAAATATCAAATAAAATATCAATCATGAAGATGTGGTCATGAGGATGATGTGGGCTCACCGACATACCCCATTCTGATAAAGCACATGACTTTTTCATTTCTACCTTTTTTTTCACCCTTCACTGAAAAGTCTAGAAGCTTAGCTAAACAATCATAGAAGTTTGATTTATGCAAATAATTCATTCCAATGATAAGAGATGTGCAATTCATAAGCATACAAATTACAATGTGATAATGTAATAGTGATGGGATTATGGCATACATGTCTAAGCATCTGATTCTCATTCTGCAATGTGGAAAGCCTTTCTTCAAGCTCTGAGTTTTTCTTTTCCAACTCTTTGACTCTTGTTTCCAACTCATTCAAGTATGCCTTCTTCCTCTCCCTTGCCTGTTGAGCTGAAACTCTATTCCTCAGCAACCTAATTGCCAATTTTGCACTCCAATTAGAACACGATGTATCACCTGAAAATTGAAATGCCTTCTTCCTCCATAGGCAGTACCCATACGGAACGGCTAGATACATGAGATGAAATTGTAAAATCAAGAAATCTTACCTCTTTAGCCGTTTGTTTTCTTTATCAGCTGGGCTCCTTCCTCTTTTTCTTTGACTCTGGCCCTCCCCTGGAGCCTGCACACGGTCTAGACCCGCAACTGAACTGGCGTCTCTTCCTGAGGCTGAAGTTCCGGCGGGTTCACCACTGATCTCCGGCACTCTCCTGATTTCCTCGTCGCTCTCCATCCCTGAAGCAGTAGAAGCGGTTAAATTAATAATAATTAAATATCTCAAGTATTCAAAGTTTCGAATAGATGACAATGCAACAAAAAACAAAAGGAAAAAGGTGAATCTTTACAGAACTTTGCGACGATTAAAAAAATTCCAAAGTCACATAAGTTAATTTCGAGATACGATGAGATCATAAACAAAGAAAATGATATATAGATTTGTCTCCATCGAGCTCTACCCAGAACAGAAAATTTGTCATTAGACAAAACCCAGATAGAAATCTCAAAACTTTATTGGAATTACGAACTAAACATATAATTTTTTTCAATTAAAAGCGTTAACAGTATATTAAATGATCGAAAATTCATTTAACTTCAGAAAATTTTGACTGGAAAGAGGAATTTAAGAGTAACCTTCTTTGACTTCAAGTTGAAAAGCAGAGCTTGAAGATCTCTCACTGCTGGATGGCAGAGAATTTGCCGCGATTGAACTTGTTGCTTGTTCTTGCATTTCTTTGTACAGAGATGAAGGGTGGGACTGGGGAAGAAATTTTCTTTGGCGTTTTGGAGAGAGAAAAAGAGCGGGATATTAATGTCACAGGGAATGAATTGCACAGACAAGTTTGCAGAGTGATTTTCAGCCCTCGGATTTCATTCAGATCTGACGGAGAAAAGAAGATAATCGTGGAAGAATATGATCCATGAAAACTTGAGTTAATCAAAGGATTATGGGATAAAAGCGTGGACAAAAGTTTATCGTTGGATGTCATTTGATCGGACGGAGGTGATGGAAAATAGAATGGAAAGTGCAATGCATCGGGACCACACCATACGCGGGCTAAAAGTGCTTGGCTTCTGTTTTGTATTTCTCGATTTTGGGGAAACTATTTTTGGGGTTCTACTACAATATATAATAAAAAAAATTCTGCATTGGTAGAGAACTCCAATATCATGACGTTTGTGCATATTATAATTACTGATTTCCTATTTTTCTTTTTAATTATTTATACATATTATTTATAATATCATGTCATGGTAAACGATTGAATTGCACAAAGATGGAAGATGGAAAATTTATGGAATAAAAAATTTTACTTTAAGCTTTAAGAAAAATACTCAAATTTTATAAATTAAATAATAAGTAAATAAATGTATATGATATCAATATTTCATTTAGAAAATTTTGTAAAAATATATTTTTTTTTATACGTAGGAAGTCCAATGGGCCGAAATAATATTATATGCTACACAGTGGAGGTAACTCTCCCTTTTAAATAACATTCATCAAATTAGCAAAAATTTTTATGGTGGAGAAGACTCAAACTTGAGATCTCTCACTTCCTGCATCTTGTAGAAAAATGTAGGAAAACCAATCACATTATACCTAATTAGCGTTTGTAAAATATATTGAAAATAAGGGATAAATTCTAATATAATCTCTAGATTAAGTTCAGAAAATTCAAAATTAAATAAATTTTATTTAAAAGTTTCTATAAGTAAATAATATAAAATTATATTTATAAAAATTATTGAAAATAAAATATAATAGATATGATTAATTTTATTTAATATTAAAATTTAATTAATTCAAATATTACTTATATATAATTGTCACGACCCATTTCCATGGGCCGGACCGGCACTAGGACCTGGGTAGGCTTAAGGCCCCCGAAGCCCGTAGTAAGCCTGTACTATTTAAAACTCGAAAAAAAGTTCTATAAGTAAATAATATAAATTATACTTTTATAAAAAATTAATTTGAAAAATAAAATATAATAGATATGATTAATTTATTTAAATATTAAAATTAAATTAATGTCAAATATTACTTATATATAATTGGTCCACGACCCCATTTCCAATTTGCGCCGGACGCCGGCACTAGGACCTGGGTAGGCTTAAGGCCCCCGAAGCCGTAAGTAAGCCTGTACTATTTAAAACGTCGCATTCTAAATCAAATTGTGGATTGCAGGCCCAAATAATTTATTTCAACGATTATATCCAAAAATAAACAATCCAAAAATAAATGTTTTATACTCTATTTGTTCATTTACAACCCAGTTGGAATACAATTGCGGAACTCCTAACTCCTAATCGCTAACCCCTTTTGCCATTTACATAATTCATAATTATTACTCTTATCGATCCACATCTCCGTTCGTGTCATTTGGACTTCTCAAGGATTCTCTTTCCATCCCGTATTACCTGGGGAGGTTGGAAGGGGGGTTGGTACTAAACTCAGTTGAGCAGGATTAGATACTCTCTCACCCCACACAGATCGTACAAATGCTAAAAATATTTTAATGTGGTCACCCATTTAGGTTATATGATCATGCAGTTTTCACACAAATGGCAATACAACAGCAATCACAATTAATATCTGACCTTCATATAATCACATCAATGTGGATTAGTCGCAGTGGCAACCAAACCTGAAAACCCAAAACGAGCCGTTCCTCACACATGTTGGCTCGCCCTTCCTCATACATGTGCAGCCAGGGAGCCGATCCACGCCATGACGGCCAACTGGTCCTAATCCTCACTGACCAGTCCTCCTCATGTGTTTTTCTCATTCCTCTCTTTTTCTTTTCATAACCAACAGGAGGCAAACCCGTGGGTCTTTCCATCAATCTAGATCATCAAGTGCTTATAAGATGTTAACGGGACACAGGAGGGCCCACCCTGCGGGCTATCAATCAATCTAGATTTATCAAGTGCCGCAACAACAAGAGGCCATCCTGTGTTCTATATAACCCATAATCATCAGTGCAACACACGGGGGAGCGATCTCTCCATTTTCCCCGGCCTGACGGTCCAATATCATAATCATAATTCCAGGAACCAACATCAACAGACCGTCCTCACAACCCATGGGGGTCCACTTCATCCCAATTCCAGCACAAACAAGGCACAGTATATTTCATAGCACAAGTAAATCAAAAACATTTTACTATACAAATATGTGCATAATAATATGGGCACTATCAATAAAATAATTGCATGAAATAACATTTAGCCGTGAAATGCCATGCATGCAGGCGGATGAGGTGAAATATTACACTACTCACAGTTCTTTAATTTGCCCTCCTAGCCACATGCTTCCAGCCTTTGTCCTCGCATTTCAGAATTTTATAAACCTCTAAAATAAACAATAAAATTCTAAGTAAGAATTTTAATTTCAAAGATTCTTTTTCATATTCATTTATTAGTTTTGGTTTCCAGTCATTTAATTCACTTATTAATTTAAACTATATAGATATTTATAGATATATATTGGGTTTCCTTATTTATTTATTTATTCTAATTTATCGCCTTTAAATAAAACGTTTAGTTATCGTTAAGTAATATTTTATAATAACGCTAAGAAGAATACGAATATTAATCATAATAATATTATTAATAGTAATAATACGATTGATAATATAATATCAAAAACGATAATCATTTTAGTCGTATTATCTATTACGGATTTCTTTACTAAGTGTTCACCGAAATTTGGGCAGCATTTCCTCTATAAACTGTACTACCAAATTTATCAAATTTTCACAAATCCACACGCACAGCCCATCCATCGGGCAAATTTATATCCACTAATCCCGTCCGCCATAACCGTCATTTATTCGGTCACTTAATTCACATAGCCCATTAAAATTAATTGTTTTATAAGTATTTATTTGTTAATAATTAATACTTATGAAATATATTTAACAATATCTAATTTAATTTATTTAGCTACTTAATTAAATTCATTAATTCATTAATTCGAGATTTGTTCAGAAATTGCAACTAAGCTTTAGAGTGTACCGATTGGAAATCAGACGACGAATCCATAGCCTACGAGAAAACGAGAATTCTGCCATTTTGGTGCCTCGCCGGAATTCGGGATTTATTCAAAAATTGCGAATTAAGCTTTAGAGTGTACCGATTGAAAATCAGATTTTATGTCCGTGATCCGCGCGAAGAGGAGATCATTCTGTCTCTCGGGGTCTTCGCCGGAGTCTCGCCGGAGCCTCGCCGGACCACCGCCGTCGCCGCCGTGCATGGTGGCCGAAAAATTTAACCTTCACCAAAATTGACAAACGATACATCATTTTATTCGTTTCGATGAGAGGATCACTGATATGTATTCAAATCAAGGTGGGTGTGAACTATTTGGCCAAATAAGGTGGGTGTGAACCAGTTGACTAGGCCTTACAATGTACCGATCAAAAATTGGATTTGATTTTCGTGATCCGCGCGAAGAGGAGATCATTCTGCCTCTCGGGGTCTTCGCCGGAGTCTCACCGGAGCCTCGCCGGACCACCGCTGTCGCCGCCGTGCATGGTGGCCGGAAAATTTAACCTCGACGCCTCAAGTCATCGGAAGCGATGGGAAATCGCCGGAGAAGTTGTTGCAACGGAGCCAAAGTTTAAATCAAACTCCTTGCGACGAGTAGATATTTTTAGAGTATCTATTTGCCGGATTTGGAGGCCGGTGGTCGGAGAACGAGAAGAAAAGGGGAGGGGGGTTGTTGAGAGAGAAGAGCGAGAGAGAGACCACTGAGTCTCTCTTCTCGTTTCTCTTTTTTTCTCTTTGTTCTTCTCTTTTTTTTTTTTTTTTTTTTTTTTTTTTTTGTTTTGTCTAGAATTTCTAATTGGTGATGGGTTTGGGTCGATTCGTAGTCTGGTTTTTGGTTTAAATCCATGGTTTAGCTTGGTTTTTTTCATTGATTATGGTTTTTTCAATCTGGTTTTTCGAAAAATTAATTTGATTTTTTGGTCCAGTTCAATTTATTGTGATTATTTTTTGTTCAATTCCGTAATATGTTCAATTATTCATAAATATTTAGAACAAAGATTTTAATTTTAGGCTGATTAATATATATAGTGTACAGTATATATATGAACATTGTTTAAATCTGATTAAACGATTAGTTTCCAATTTGTAATTTTCAATCCGAAATTTTAAGTATACCCAAACGAAAATTCTAAAATAATACTTGGGCCCAATTCGTAAAACTTTGGGCTCAATTAGAATTACTCGGTCTTAACAGCCCATATTATCATAAATCTGGATTTTTGATTTAATGAAAATTCAATAGTTTGAAAATAAAAATTCAGGGTATTACAATCTCCCCCCCCTTAAGACAATTCGTCCTCGAATTGATTCTAGTGGGACAGAATAAGAATGGACGCATGGAATGTTGTAAAGTTATAAGAAATTGCTTCCAATACCAAGGAGACAGCTCAAGAGCGAAAATACAGGCCGAGGAAACAAAGTGAGTGGGATATTTTGATTGTATTTCTACCGCCAATTGTCATATTTAGAATAAAATTCCATTCAAACTACATAGTACCACCTAACTGAAGCAAATTCCGTTGCTAGGAAATCTTTCTTTAAATAAAAATCTTATAATTAACCCAACCTTTCAATAAAATGCTTACTATATATATAATAATTGCCAAAAACAAAACAATTTGAAATTTATTTACCCTACAATATAGAATGTCTATAATATCGCAGGGTTATTCGAACTGACTCTATCAGTTCTTTTTATACAAGTTTTATTCTTATAATATTTTTATGGTACACTAGCGCAATTATTTAAATAGCTCATTTACTAAGGACATCCCTGCACTATTAGTTTTCTTACTCTATATGGATTCCCA